CTTTCCCTAATTTCTCCGCATCCCTCCAGCATTGCTACCATGCGTTCTCCTTGCTGCAGCCACCCCGACAACAACCCTTTTGCTGTTCTTCCTGCAGTTCCTCGCTGTCCAGTCATCCTTCTCGTTGTTGCAACCCCTGGACAGTCCTCCTTTTGCTATCTCACAGTCCCACGCACTTTCCACGACTGCCATTGTCATTCACGCTCGCTTCAGCCGTTTCTGGTTGTTTTGTTGTTGTTCTAGCCCTCCCAAACTGCTTCCCTGCCATCTAGCCACTGCCATAGGCTCCTGCACTGCCTCCCTGCCACATCTCGCTGTCCCAGCCACTCGGAATCCCCTCCCCACAGCTTAGTTTCCGTTCTAGCCACCCAACACTGGTTCAGATCGTTGTTTCCCCGCTGACCAGCCCGCTTATCCACTTCCTGTCGTCCCGGGCAGAGAATATCCCCTACTTCTCTGCTGTACCGCCCACGCGCTTCACCTCCCCACCTTGTCGTCACATTCCAAACCCCCAACGACGACCACCACCAAGTCCACCACCATTGGTACACCCTAGTCACAGTTTGTATGATGTGTCTGCTGCTATTTCTATTTACATTTGTGAGATTGTATTTCTTAATTTTTACTTCAGCAATGTTATTTGATTTTCCTTTGTTGTTCGGGTTAACTCTAGTATCAACGAGCATATAAAGTGGGCAACAAAAGTCGTGTTATTGCTCAAATATAAGGTATTGTGACATGCAAAACTATAATGCAAGTTAATATTGCTTACTTAGATACAGAAGGTCTGAAAAGGATAGCATATTTTATACCTTATCAATATATTTATATATATTTATATAGTCTAAATTTATTTTTCTTTATTTATTAGAGCTGATCACTAGGTTGGTTGATATGAACATTTCATATTTGAATAAGCTTGAACAAAATAATAAACCCATTGGTAGTTTTTTCTTCTTTTGGGTTGCCATTTACTCTTGCATGGTACTTATAATCCTAAACTATTTTAATGCTTTTTTAAATTCAAGAAGTGTTTTAATAATTACAACTTATGAGAGAAATAATACATTATTTAGTTCAATTCATGTCGCTTTAATTTCTTTCTTTCTTTTTTTTTTACACAAAGCTAGGCTGCACAAGATGTTTTCTAATCCATATAGAAGACTGTAAATAATAATTTACTTGGTTGTTTAAATGCCCATTTGAATGTCGGTTGGATATAGCTGCATTATTTAGTATGATGATCAGGCAGGACAGCCCAATCCCTGGAAATTCAAGCCCATGCTTGACAAAAAATGACTCACACCAGGTTAATGATCAAGTTTAATATCAATATAGTATTATACGAAGCGTATGAGAAAAATCTATCTTTTGAAAATTTTCAAATCTAAAAGCAAGGGAACAGCTTCATTTCAAATTAAAATTAGAGATATATTTTATAGTTTATTAATGACGTCTCATTTGATCAAAATTTCAACCAAAAATAATTTGCTTTTTGAGCATTACACCATCATCAAATCAAATTATGCATTATTTAATAAATTATTTGCACTGTATTATATTTACTTTTTTTCTTTACATGGTTTAGATTTTCTGGTCGTTCTTTTGTTTGTTTCACAGGCTATCCTAGATTGTAAGGAATCTTCCCAAAGTTCTGTGCAAGTGTTCATCAAGTAAGTTTACTAACGCTTAGTAAACTTCCATTCTAAATTTACATAAATTGATGTTTTGCAGCAGTTCAAAACTGGCACTCTTGTAAATAATATATTTGTGAACATTAGAAAGTATTTTATGGGTATTATTGTAGATTTGTAAATAATTTCCGGTGCCTCCTGAGTCCTGATGATTAAGTGTTGTTCTTTGAGTTTTGTAAGGCCCCTGGTTAACAGAGCCTTGTTCATATTAAAGTCGACTATTAACATAGGTACTGCTGCTGGAGTGTTTATGTTATGCAGGCATATGGTTGCTTTCAACTATAAATTTCATGTTGTGGAAGGAGTATCTGCTTTTTGTTGTATGTACTCTAAGTTTTGCAACACATGGATTTCGTTAAAGTAACATTTATTGTTACTTATATTCATTCTAACTTATCCATTTATTAAAAACAATTCGGAAACTGAAACCTTCCTGGAATTTTAATTTGGAAATGGCATTCTATTATTTTTACAATCGTGCTAGGCATATATATTGGATCATGTCTTTTCTCTCTGTAATTAATTTAGATTGCCAAGTTCGCTTTTCATCTAGCTTCCAAAACAAACTCTGAATTTGGCACAACTTTCTGATTCAATCGGATTCAAAATCAGCAAACAAATTACAAGAAATATGTGGGAAAATCCAAATTCGGACTGCTTTGATTAATCTCTAAACAAACAAAGAAGAACTTTAAACAATATATTTAAATGCATAAAAGATAAGCACTTATAATTTGAGTGGAAGGCTATCTCTTTCAAATTCTAACACTAGCACTTATACTTATAATTCGAGAGTTATGCAATCTCTCCCAAACTCTATCCCTAAATCTCATGACAACAATTTCATCATAACCTTAACCCTAAATATATTAGCCCTATTTATATCCCACAACTTATTTCTAAAATAAGTCTTCGAATTCTTTGGCGGCCTCAACGTGTCTAACATTACTCCCTTCCTGAAAAGATACCTTGTCCTTAAGGTAGAAGAGAGAAAATTGCTCTTGGATCAAGTTTTATGGCTTCAACATGACATCATCATTCGGTAATTCTTTCCATTTAATCAGAAAATTGTAGCGACCCTCGTGAGTATGAAATGTCATTTTGTGCACATCCTTCAGCCATATCTGAATATGTCTGTACCTTAATTTTGGAAAATATTGCAGCCCCAAACAACTCATCAGTTGTTTGTCGATTATTGGAATCTCTATCAATTCCGTATCATGTCTCTTCCATGTTATGCAATTCGATCAAGAATCTCAATTGCGTTCTGAATTCCCCTCACCATGGTTTTGAGCTTCACCAAAGTCGTGCATAAATTGGGGTCATCGTGAAACACCATAATCTGGTCCCCACTCCTGAATCCTCTCCAGTGTCAAAGTCGGTCCCTTACGAGCTCTCCTGGTCTTCTCCACTAGTTCCATTCCCATCATTACTCTTGAATCGTCTTTCGCCTTAAAGTTTGTCGCAACAAAGGGCATGGGCTCAGTTGGATGCAACCCTTCGTCGAGATTCTACCCACCGTGATTTCATTTTCCAAATCGCAATCATTTGTTGATTTTTCCAGCCTCAAATCTTGTATCATCCCGCTTTGCTTGTTGTCGCTTGTTCTAAGCATCCTGATGTCTCACAATTCCATCTAGATGCTGCGGCTCGAATCCGCTTCCAACTCCTTTGCTAAATCTCATCCGCTTTTATTCGTTCCAATTGTTTGGATGTCGCACAATTCTTTCTATGTGCTGCCGCTCAAGCCTGCTCCCGATTGCTTTGCTAATCTCGTTGCTCCATATTCGCTTAAAGCAGTTACACTGCCCTGATGCCGCACGAATCCTTTTTATTGTTGTTGTTTGTGTCAGCTCCCCACGTCATCACTTGATTCAACACTAGGTAGTGGTAGGTTTGTGTGAAGATCCTCGATCTTCCTATTATTTCGTCCAGGGGTTGTGATTCTACACTCCATGGTCGAGATTCGTCCTTCCATGAGCGAGAAATACTCATCCATTTTCAATTTGATTTGGCTTACTTCTCACTCTAATTTCTTCTCCAAAGCCTTTTTTTTGTTGACATTACGACCGGGATGTTTTTTGATCAGGGAGGCAAAACTTTGTACTTCAAAATCCCCTAGTTGGTTTCGTGAATATCTGTAATTGAGACTATGTGCTTAGGGCGCTTCGTATTGCTTCCTAAAGGAATCAAATCATGGTTGTGCTACTAGGGCATGATGCACTTCTATATTTGGCTTCCTTGTATTTGCCGCGATCCCGACTTGTCAATTGTGACAATATCTTCATTATCTTTATGTTGCGATCCAGACGTTGCTTCATTGTACTCGCTGCAATCCCGTTATTGCTTACGAACTAGCTTGATCACAACTGCATCGCATCACTATGGCACCCAACCACCCATGTTGCTTCCAAGATAGCTTGATTCGAGTGATTATATCGCTCTGTATGCCTCGTTCTTCTCTTCCTAGCTACCCCGTGATATCCTTGGTCCATGTATGTTGTGATCCTATATTTATTTCCCGGAAATTTGTACGTCAGAATCCTGTCATTTTTTTCCTGGCACTACTGTATCACGATTGCTCTGTATTTCACGAACCTTCTCGTCCGAACTAGCTTGTGTATCATGACTGTATAGCGTGGTTCAGTCACAAAGGATGTTGTAGGCCGCGATCACACGAAAGCGACGTCTATATCTCGGGATTTCGAAGTTGTCTTATCATAATCAAATGCTTTGATACTAGTTTGGTATGCATGGAGATGAATTGACATCGCAAAATTAGGGCAAATAAAATTCTTTACTGCAACAATACATAACAACACAACACAACTCCAATGCATATAAAATAAGCACCTACAATTTGAGAGGTAGGTGATGTCTCGCAAACCCTGACTTTAGTATCTACAATTTGAAAGGTGGGCAATGTCCCACCCAAAACCTTAACCCTAATACTCAAGATAACGATTTCATCATAACCTAACCCTAAACATATTAGCCTTATTTATACCATCACAAAATAATAACTAAATTACCCTTAAGCACCGGTCTAATACTTTCTCACTATTTTTTTTCTAAATTGCCACATCCATTTAGTCGGGGTTTTTTTTTTTTGCCTCTTTTTAAAATTTTGGTAATAAAAAATTGCTTTTAAGAGTTAGATATATTAAAGTGTGGTAGTCATAAGAAAATTTTTATCTGATTTTTTCAAAAAATAAGCAAAATTTTTATAATACTCGTAAAAGCTTCTAAAAAATTAATTTTTTTACAAACGTATTAATTGCATTTAAAGAAAGCTACAACCGCCTCAAACGTACACTAAAGGGTCATTTGGGATCACTTTTAATTATATATCTTTATTTTGTTTCAGATAGTTTGAGTGCTTTAAAAACAAACTAATTTTTTTTAGAAACAAAAAATTAAAAAAAACACTAAAAAAATGCACTATCCAATTATGTTTTTAAAATAAAAGCAAAAACAAGAAACAATGTGATCCCAAATACGTCCTTAGTTTTTCCTTTGTTTATCTTATCTTTGTTTGAAACTTTTTATGATAAATTGCTTGAATTAAGCGCATACATACAATTGCTAGTCTTGAGGATGGATCTTACATTGGAGGAGGGAGCATTACATGCAAAGGACGCCTTGGCATCAATGATTTTTTCTCAACTAGGCTTTTTTTGGGGAAACTTGTATTGGAGCAGCCAATTTCCTTGACTTATCATGTAAGTTGTACAAGTGAAAATTACTTTTTTTTTATTATCTGAGTTTTCTACGTACTTGGTTTCAAACGGAAATCACATTTGAAGTGTTTTGAGATGAAACTACTGGAAATGTAGAAAGCTTTAATAAATTTATTCGCTCTTCTTCCAGATTATTGCATTAGCAAGACCTGAGCTCATAATCGACTATTCTTTCCTCAATGGTTTTGCCTACACGTTAAGATGACCATGCTCCATCTTTATATAGGTTAAATCTGATGCTAACTCTCTGATGGGACTCGTGCTTTCATTCTCCCCTAATCCAAACGGGATAAAAAAAGTCCTCCTTTTGCCTGAATCCATGCTTCCCACTTGCCAACTAACAACAAAATACGATCGAATCATTCTGACAAAAAAAGGTACTCACCAGGACCTTTCATCAGCCTCAGACTGGATCCAATATGATTCAGACATCATGATGGATGGTCACACAATGACTGAAATCGGACTTCTCTGCTACTTAAAGAAGCCAGCCGAAGCGAATACCACCTTAACCAACAAAGCAACCGATCGATCACCATACGTCGCTTCCCTCGGTCTCATCCGCCTCCAAATTTCTGGACAAAGCATCGAATTCCCATCAGCTGACTCATGGATTATTCAAGGTGAAAATATTTCCTGGTCCTCAAACGATGAAGGAATCAGAGCCGTCAGCCTTAAAATTACCTGGAAACTGAAGGCAGGCTCATCACAAGCCTTTGCGGCATACAACATATTTGTACAGAAAGTATCCAGTGACATGAATATCCAGGATTGTAACATGGATGGTAGTGCAGAGTTTCTAGCTGCTACTAAAGCTGGAATCTATTATGTATCAGCTCTTGAAGTTCCCAGTGGCGTAACTAATCTCAACTTTTTCATTCAAATTTGTGCGATTGATGGGACTTTTCAGGACCTTCGTAAATCTCCTACATATCCATTGGAAGTTGAAGGTCGGTAAGGCTTACATTTGATTTTGGTTTCTGGAAGGAAGTTTCCATTTGATTTGTATCTTTTTTCTATCAATTCAATTTGCAATTTAACTTATTTTCTGTCCGCTAATAATAAATCAGAAACTAATATGGTACTATGCGTTAAGTTTCTGGGTGCTTTTTTAAGTTCTTTGATGTAACCTTTTTTTTTTTTTTGGAAAATTTGCATTCGTACCGCTCAGCTGTAATGCATTTACATATCTGATACCTATACCTTCTCTATGCATGACAAGGTGTATTAGACTTTTTTTTTTTTTTTTTTTTTTTTTTTATTTCATGTTAAATTAGTGCTTGTTTTGATGTGATATGAAAGATTTGGATGGTATAAATGTAAAAAATTAAAGTTTAGGTGTTAGATATGTAAGAACATAAGAATTAAGTGGTATGTATGTAAGTGCTTTTTTTGTTGCATTTCTTTTACTGGTGACCTGCTGATGGTTTTTCTGTTCCAAATTGCTGGAGACATATTGTTGTACAGGATGAAAGAACACAACCGTTTTAATTTTTATTTTTATTTTGTTTTTTTACCTGAAATAAAATTATATCAATGTGCTAATTGAGAAAGGCTATCTAAAATAATTTTTTTGCTAAGTTATGTAATAACAATTAGTCAATCTCTGAACTAGTTATGACAATTAATAAAATTCCTCAACCATATAAAGAGTTGGTGTTGGAATGGCTCTCCTTTAGATCATTCAAAGGAGCCAGTTTAATGAAAAATTATTCCATACACTGCATGCGGTATCCGATCTCTACTGTCGATCACTGCAAAGATGTATTTCTGTAGATCTCATTTGTAACTCTTTTTTTTTTTAATTTTGATTGCAGTGATCGTCGGTGGAGATCGAACACCGATAAAATATAATTAATAAGTTATAACAATCACTCAAAATAATTTTTAGATATTTTAATTATTTTTAAAAATCAGTTAATTTATTTTTTAAAATAAAAAAATAAAAATAAAAACATGCAAAAAAAGATATTTAACAAGCATATTTTTAAAATTTTTAAAAAATACAAAAATAAAACTCCCAAGCAAATTCTTAAATCTCAAGTTGTTTTCAAATGAGGACGTGGTTAGGGTTGTCAAAAACGTTTATTCTTTGCAAACAACTCGTGTTTTAAGTCAGTAAATAGCTCGTGTTTGATTCATTTGTTAAGCAAGAAAGCCAAACAAGAATATATTTTTTAAGCTCAATTTATAAGCGAGTCAAACAAGAAGAGCCATTTCTTATATTTTTTGCTTGAAATAATAATTAATTAAAAATAACAATAATTATAAATTTTTTTTTAAAATTTTATGATATATTTAATAGAAAATTATAAATTTAAAAATATATTAAATTATTTTAATAAATTTTTATATTTTAAAATATCTAAAACTAATCTAAGTGTATTCCTATTAAAAAAAATAAACTATTTATATATATGATTAAAGCCGTAAATCCCCGCATTCGTGACCATCTTCTTTTCCTTTGTTTAGGTTTTCTGTGGCGAGGGCGAGTCTACGAGACGAGGCGAGGGGAAGGTGAGGGCGACTGAGAAAATCTTTCCTTTCCGTCCCAAGGGTTTCTACCAAGAGGTGAGAGATTATTTAATCAGTTGGTAAAGAGAGGCTGCGAAGCCTGCGATTATCTTGGATCTATTGGCTATTACCACTGTAATCTGTTAATTTTTTGGGAAATTTACATACGCCGCACATTATTCTTATGGATTTATCTAGATCCGTTCTTAGATTATATGAGTCAAAGTTTGAGTGTTGCTGTTACATTTCTAGATTTTCTGGTTTTTTGTGGTTTTGTTGTGGATCTGATTTGGGGTTATCATTATCTTTTGCGGATCTGGTTTTCTGCAGCTTTATAAGGGTTTTGCCATTCTATTATAATTGAAGGGATTATTGGCCAACTTCCTGAAGACATGTTTGTTTCTCAGAATGTCGGGAACTTTTTATGATTATTTAACTCATCACATTTTATCCTTGCAATGTATGCATGTAATATGTGGATTTGTACGTCAAATCTCTTCATGCTTTAAATTAGTGTAATATGTCAAAATTTGGATGCCGAAAAACTAATTTTCTTTACGATAAGCTTCTTGATACCTAAAGAATCATCAAGAGATTTAGTGTAATATATCAAATTTGATAATTACTCGTTGATTATATACGGTAAAATCCTTAATGAAGGAAAATTTATTTCTTGGTTTTTTTTCCTTAAATGTTGTGTTTCACAAGCTGTTTGTTCAGGTGTAGAGTTACTGATAAAACTGAGCAGAATGTATACTGCGAGGAAGAAAATTCATAAGGAGAATGATGTTGAGCCCACAGAGTTCGAGGACTCCGTTGCTCAGGTTTATTATGTGGACTATTCCCTTGGCATTTTTTTTTTTGTTTTATTTTACTTTTTAATTTGGGCTTTCTTCGTATTACATAACTTTCATCTTCTTTCAGGCCCTATTCGACTTGGAAAATACAAACCAGGAACTTAAGAGTGATTTGAAAGATCTTTTCATAAACTCAGCTGTGTAAGATGAGAGACAGTTGTAGACTATAAATTTTTAATTATGCTGGATGGAAATTTATATGGATGCCATTTCTATGGAAGACTCACTTACATACCCATCAGCTTATGCATTTACATGTCTGATATCCAAATTTTAATTTGCAAATGTATGCTATCTTACTTATGCATGAAAAGAAGTATTTTACTTTTTAAATGTTAAAGTAGTGATATTTTTTCTGTGGTATGAAAGATTTGTGCGGTGTAAATGTAAATGTAAAATCTAAGTGTTAGGTATGTAAATGTGTAAGAATTGGGTGGGTATGTATGTAGATTTCCCTTCTATTTTTGTAATGGTTTTGTGGTTGCAGACAGATGGATGTTGCTGGGAACCGCAAGTCCATAGTTATTCATGTTCCCTACAGAATCAGAAAGGCCTTTCGTAAGATACATTTGAGGCTTGTGAGGGAATTGGAAAAGAAGTTCAGTGGAAAGGTTTGCTTCTCTATGACTTTTGCTTCCCACATTTTTCATCCTACCTTGGTGTTCTATAGTTGTAGACTTGCTAATTTCGTTTGATAAATATTGACAATATTTATTATGAATTTAATTACTAATTCAATGGAATTAAACAAATATAAGAATTTGATTTAAATATTGCTCAATAGTTTGGATTGCTTTTTGGCTTGGAAATGCTTGGATGAAAATAAATGAGCTTAGTAATAAACCAAGCTCTACACAAGTTAAACTTGAATTGAACCAAGCTTGGTTCAAATTTAAATAACATGAGATCTACTCAAGCTGTACATCCAGACATGCAAATATTGTTGCATCTACTTAAAAATTGTGTCTGTTAGATATGTATTTATGAATATATGTTTATCTAGCTAGATATATGAATGCCTTTGTCAAACAAATTGTCTTCGATATTAGAAAAATTGATCTGAACAAAATTTGATTTAAACTGATTATTTTCTCTCATATTAAGCTCAAATCAACTTTAGCGAGCTATGTTATGTTCAAATTCAGTCTGAATTGAGCTAGTCTATAACTAGCTATAGCTTGAATTGATGTTAAACCAAATGGTTTAGAGTTGATATTTGAGTTGAGATTGTATTTCTAACAATTTTATCTCAAAGCAAATAAATTAGAAATGAAGGGTTTTTTTTTTCATTTTTGTAGTATTATGGGTGATATTTTTTAAGCCCTAAAATTAAAATGAATGGCCTTATTGTAAGGTTTAATTGGCTTGAGTCATTGAAGAAAAGATCCTCTTATGGAAATTTTAAAAAACAGCTTATATTAGGCCTAGCGTTGCATTGCAAATATTGTATACCATTTTTCTATAAATACCCAATAAATATTGTTTGGTTTGGTGGTAGATTTTCTCTTTTACAATTTGTGTATATCTTATGCATCCTCTTAGACTGGTTTCTTTCTGTAGCATATTGTTTATTATATTCTATCATACCTTTCCTTTTGTAGGAGGTCATCATTATTGCCTCCCGAAGGATAGTGAGGCCGCCCAAGAAAGGTTCCTCCGTCACTCGCCCTCGTAGCCGCACTCTCACTGCAGTTCATGATGCGATTTTAGAAGATATAGTTTACCCCGCTGAGATTGTCGGAAAGCGTGTAAGATATAGGTTGGATGGCTCCAAGATTGTCAAGGTGAGGATGCAATTTATGATATATCATTCTTTGTACTCCGTATAAAATCTTTGCATTTGCATGCATACCACCCAATTCCTATGTAGTTACATAGGTAAAACATAAACTTTGCTTTTTACAATTCATAACACCGAAACATTTAACATTTTATAAAAATACCATTATTTTAACTTTTAAAAAGTGAAATAAAATTTTTCATGCAAGGTGAAGTGTATGTAAAAATTGTAGTTTAGGTGTTAGATATGCACATACATAGGAATTTAGTGGTATGTATGTAAATCTTAATTCAACTAAAAAATTTGTTATTAAGATGTGGTGCTGTTAAGGTAATCGAAAATTTTATGAAAAATCATTTTATCATCCTGCCTAGAAGCTACTAGGGGTGCAAGTGAGTCAAGCCAACTTGTGAGCTGCCTCGAGCTCGGCTCAGTAAGTGGCTCGTGAACTGAGCTCGATGAGCTAACAAGCCTTGTTCAAGCTAGCTCCGACTCGAATCGTGAGTTGGCTCATTCAAAAAAAAAAAAAAATACAATAAAATGTACTCAAAATATATTAAATTTGAAGAATTTATTAAATGTTTAAAAAATAATATGTTGTATTTTTTATCGAGTGATTTTTTATTATTTTTCTCATAATTATTCATTTTATTATATTATTATTAGTTTTTATATTATTTTCTCACTTTTATAATAAACAAATTGATTCATAAGTTGGCTTGAACTTGTAGACTTAAGTTTGAGCTCGAGCCCGATAAAATTTATCTAGTTCAAGCTCCAGTTAAAGGTGGCTCGAGCCCTCGACTCTTTTACACCCCTAAAAGCTACGACCCTGTCATCCCTTCATTTATTTCCCCTATTTTCTTCCTTAAATAGGTCTCTACCTTCCTGAAGCCAAGTGTGGCCTCACGAGTTTATACTTTTTATTTCTTACTTTTATATTTAGTCCCATATCATTAAATCGCATTTTAAGAATGGCACAAGATCTTAAATCAAATTTTTTGAACACATGGGCTTGTAGAGGAGTTGATAGAGAGCTTTCTATCCAACTAAAAGACCCTAGTTCAAAACACAACATAACCACTAATTTCTAATCTAATTGCCTCTAAGGACAACTTCCTAAGATATATATATATATATTATATATATATATATATATATATGTTAATGCTAACCATTTAAAATGAATGGCACGGGATCTTAAATTAATAATCAAAATCTTAGTTAGCTTAATTAAATGACTAGCCTCTCTTTCCTCAATCGATGGGTTGTAGCTCCGCCTCGACCTACACGGGATTCAGAATGAACTACAGCTGATGGATTGCAATGCGCGGAGGAAACGTATTCCAAATCACGGAACCGGTTCGCTGTTCCGCGCGATTCAAACTGTTCTCGGTGGTTCAATTACACGAACTGTTTCTTATTACATCTGATTCATGATCAAACCCGGTTTTGTCAACCCTTGATTTTAACCGATCATGTTACTAAAATTTTCTATTATTAAATGAAAATTATAATAATTTATTATAATTTTTCTATTGTTAAATGAAAATTATAAAACTAAGGTGAGTCCCTGTCCCTTTGATTGAACTCTCTTCTAAAATTTTCAGAGGCAATCACTTTTATATAAGCCACATTTTCATACATGCCACCCAATTCCAGTGCTTTTACATATTTAACACCTAAATTTTACTTCTTACATTTATACCCACCCAAATTTTTCATATTACATAAAAAGCATCGCTATTTAACTTTTAAAAGTGAGACACCTTTTTCATGCATATTTAAGGTGATGTCATGTGAAAGTTGAACTTCAGGTGTTATTGGAGATGCAAAAACATCAAAATTGAGTGGTATTTATGTAAATGAACCTTTATATAACTACAATGAAATAGATTGGCAATAATTTAATGGTTGGCACGGCAACAGTCCTCTAAATTTTCTGACTTATTGGTTCTATCTGTTTAAAGATATAATTTTTGAATCTTTAACTAAAACTAAATAGTCTTAAGTCTCCAACCTTTCTTGCAGTCTTTCCTGATCACATTACTAATATTGTATTAATATTTTAGATAGCTCATATTTACATATACTGTTTCATCTAATTTTGATTCATCTATGGTCATGCTATTTATGTACGCATAAATTCTTTTGATCTGTTATCATTACTGCTTAATTACATTATTCATTAGTTACAACAAACTCCCTCAACTTTTTTATATTTACAGATTTTTCTGGACCCAAAGGAACGCAACAACACGGAGTACAAGCTGGAGACCTATTCAGGAGTCTACCGCAAACTGTGTGGGAAGGATGTTGTGTTTGAATACCCAGTTACCGAGAACGCCTGAGCTCTTCTGTTTCTGAATTTTGCTTTTTTAATTGTTTTAAGTGATGGAAAAATTTTGATTATTTGAATTTTTAATGCACTGCAAATTTGAATCTGATCATCATGAATCTCTGTTAGGTTCATTATTGTTTTTTTTTAATTATTTATTTCTCTTGTGATTTTGTGTCGCAAATTTTTTTTTTTTTTGGCTATGTTGGGGTTTGAATCTTTTTAGTGGTATGCATGTAAATTGAGTGGTCACCCAATTCTTATGTATTTGCATATCTAATATCTATTTTTACATTTATTTCACCAAAAGCTTCATCATTTAAAAAATGTCGTTGTTTTCATCTGTGAGACATTTAAAATTGAAGTTTAAGTGCAAATTGATGAGAATTGAATGGTGTGTATGTAGATCGTTAGAAGGCTTATATTCTTTGAATCTAATTTTTATATTGTAATGTTTCTGTATTGCATTTCAGCTTTGACGATTTACATATTGAAAATGTGTTTTATCTTGGAAAACGTTTAATTTATATATATATATATTAAAATAAAAATAGGTTTAAATAAATAAAAAAGAAAATAGCAGACATATATCTTCCAAATTAAATATTATTCATTATACATCATGGTTAAAATAAAATTATTGGCAATTACAAATTTTTGCTATCAAATGTATTGTTGTTTTTTAATATTGGGTGAAGAAATATTGAATGCAACTCAGTTATGTATAAGGCTTCCATGGCTTAGATTCACTAATATATGGTTTGATGAGATTTTGCTAGTATTAAATAAAATATGTGTTGATTAAATTAAATTTTTAAAGATAATAAAAAAAATTTTAAATATTGGAAGGGTGAACTCTAAATACTGGGAAAGATTAGATGTTGAAAGATTATATGATGCTCATTAACAAGTTTCAATTTATTCAAACTTAAAATAATATTATTTTGTGATTATAAATATATGAAATAATATCCTACTCACTTTAATTCGCAATTAATAATTAAAAAAATAACAATAAAAAAAAAAAGAATGAAGGCCACATTATTTACAATCTGAAAAGAAAAAAAAGAGGGGAGTAAGTACCAATCAGATCAGTGAGATTGCGGATAGCTGCAGCCTTGCAGGAAACTTGCACCAAGTTTGGGAGGATGCCTGAATGTGACTTCTGGGATGTAAAATTTATGGTGCAGAAATTCTTTACAGTATAAATTGTTAGAATTTTAGCTGCAATTATCTTTTGCATAATGGCTTGTTTCGGTGGCAACTCTTTTCCAGACATCCGCCATCTAAAATACTCCATCTGTTGAGCATAACATTTGTTTTTAATGAGACCCCACGTTAAAAATGTAAAAGATAATTAGAATAAATGTGTCCAAAACAGCAGCTTCATATATACCGCAATATATATAGCGAGAGAGAGAGAGAGAGAGAGAGAGAGAGAACTTATATTTCTCAAAAGCACAACATCAGAATGGGGAGAGATCAAGCTACTATAAAATACTCAGAATGAAAAATTTCTCGAATAGTTCGACTTACCACAGACAAACGATCAATCAAACATATGCAGTGTAGAAAATATGCAATGTATTTGAAATACATTAGAGCTGATTGATTTGATGTTAAATATATTCAGGAACAACAAAAACAAAAAGATGGCTTGAAGGATGACATTTTAACTGTTAAACAAAACTAAAAAGAAAAAACTTTTCAAATTGTTTTCTTGAAAGAGTAACCTTGTCTGGGTTCAAGGACAAATGAGGGGTCCGGAATTGGGACGCGGCGGGGGGGAGTGGCCATCAGCCATACCCATCCTTGCTGCAGTTGTCGTTTATCCAGCAAGCCTTTTTCTCATAAGAAACACATCTCTCCTCCCACGGCATCTCCACTTCTTGTTGGTTACAATGGACAATTTTTTCTATCATAAAGTTAAAATTTTTGCCTTATTTATTCAAAGTTTCTTGCTTTTTTTAGCATTACATGTTACAGTTTTCTTTTTAATTAATATTTTCATTGTAGAATTTTTTTTTAAATGAATAAGAGGTAAGAAAATGGTTTAACGGAACAAAGAAACACATCTCTTCTCTCACGGCATCTCCACTTCTTGTTGGTTACAATGGACAATTTTTTCTATCATAATGATAAATTTTTTGCCTTATTTATTCAAAGTTTCTTGCTTTTTTTAGCATTACATGTTACAGTTTTCTTTTTTAACTAATATTTTCATTTTAGATTTTTTTTTTAAATGAATAAGAGGTAAGAAAATGGTTTAATGGAACAAAGAAAAAATCAGACCTAAAAATATACTTAATCAGAATTGGAGTGAAGAGATTTGTCATAATAGAAACAAATAGCGTTCTAACTGACTTCAGCATATATATATATATATATAGATATAGAAAAGAGAAAAAAAAGCTATCTAGCATGAAACAACACTCTACACAGTTAATTGTTGGTAGATCAACAGGAAATTACCAAAAAAAAAAAAAAATGCAAAATCTTTTCGAATCTGTTCTAGCAACTCGAAGTGGGCCTATGTTATAATCAAGCTGGTATTAGAGCATCATTCTTAAGTGCATGTTGCAAAAAAGGAATGAGGTAAAGATAAAAGAGTCATTTCTTATCTTTGAGATGCATTAAAAACAAGGAAAGAGATAATATCAAGAACAAGAGCAACAAAGATGATCAATAGAAAACAATTATCCCACACCAGATTTTAGCTAATCAAGTGGCATTTGACGAGGCGCATAACTGCCATGATGGACTTGATGGGATGAAAACAGAAATGAAAAAGAAGAAGAAGATATAACGGCTATTCATAAATGATGACAGCATTCAAAGGAGAAACCTAAGTGAAGATTCATACATAAAATTTGATGGTTGATGCCAAGAAACTCGATGCTTGGATCAACAAGTGGAGACACAATTCATCTTCTGTGGGTATAGAACCAATGTCATCGTTGTCTTCGCCTAACTTAAATAAAGTTATCAAGTTAACTCCCCAATGCCTTCTCTTTGGATTTGCAAGACTCAAATTTTCAACAAGGTTTTGTCCAGGCGGACAATATTTGTACCACTTTCCCTAAGAAATTGGAAGAATGATGAGCAGGAAAAAACTACTACCCCTGTAAACCGTAGGTCCGGCGGTGGCCATCAGCCATGCCCATCCTTTCTGCAGTCGATTCTGGCAAGTCTTTTTCTCATAAGAAACACATCTCTTCTCTCACGGCATCTCCACTTCTTGTTGGTTACAATGGACAATTTTTTCTATCATAAAGTTAAAATTTTTGCCTTATTTATTCAAAGTTTCTTGCTTTTTTTAGCATTACATGTTACAGTTTTCTTTTTAATTAATATTTTCATTGTAGAATTTTTTTTTAAATGAATAAGAGGTAAGAAAATGGTTTAACGGAACAAAGAAACACATCTCTTCTCTCACGGCATCTCCACTTCTTGTTGGTTACAATGGACAATTTTTTCTATCATAAAGTTAAAATGTTTGCCTTATTTATTCAAAGTTTCTTGCTTTTTTTAGCATTACATGTTACAGTTTTCTTTTTAATTAATATTTTCATTGTAGAATATATATATATATATATGTATATATATATATATATGTAGGTGAGAGAAAAAAAGTTATCTAGCATGAAAAAACACTCTAGATACAGTTAATTGTTGGATAGATCAACAGGAAGTTACCAAAAAAAAATAAAAAATTGCAAAATCTTTTCGAAGTGGGCTTATGTTATAATCAAGCTGGTATTAGAGCATCATTCCTAAGTGCATGGTGCAAAAAAGGAAGGAAGATAAAGATATAAGAGTCATTTCTTATCTTTGAGATGCATTAAAAATCAGGAAAGAGATAATATCAAGAACAAGAGCAACAAAGCTAATCAATAGAAAACAATTATCCCACATCAGATTTTAGCTAATCAAGTGGCATTTGACGAGGCGCATAACTGCCATGATGGACTTGATGGGATGAAAACAGAAATGAAAAAGAAGAATTCAAAGGAGAAACCAAAGTGAAGATTCATACATAAAATTTGATGGTTGATGCCAAGAAACTCGATGCTTGGATCAACAAGTGGAGACACAATTCATCTTCTGTGGGTATAGAACCAATGTCATCGTTGTCTTCGCCTAACTTAAATAAAGCTATCAAGTTAACTCCCTAATACTTTCTCTTTAGATTTGCAAGACTCAAAATTTCAACAAGGTTTTGTCCAGGCTGACAATATTTGTACCACTTAAACTTTTCCCTAAAAAATTGGAAGAATGACGGGCAAGAAAAAACTACTGCTCCTGTGATGAAGAACGCAGTGCTCAGCAAAATGGACAAGATGGGCACATCTTTAGCTTTGATGCCAACGCTATTACTTGGGCATGGAAAATATGCTTGACCATAGAAGGTGCAAGTAAAACGTTCTACTTATTTTCAGAGACTTCAAACATTTGAAATCTGGCATACTACAAACCTAAAAGCATGATCATCCAAATAAAATTCTGAATGTACATAAAGAGCTAATTTTGCGAACACAGTACAAAAGCTACAAAATGACCCATTCTCAGCCTCCCAACCCCGATTTATAGACAAACTCTTTCGCCAATTCCCAATAAAACAACATTTACCACCGGATATGAATTCAAAGACAAGATTTTGCAACATTGATTATGTAACCATTGCGACAGACATTTGATATCTATCCGAACAATAATGCCAACAAACAAAGAGGTGAAAATCAATCTAGTAACTACCAGTCAACTTAAGGTACAGCTAAATACTGAGTAATACCTGATTTGTTGCCAATCCTTTTAGCATATTCAGAAAATCATCCTGCCTATCTTTATCAAATCTCTCAAGTTCGTATCTGCTGTTCTCCTGAAAGCAAGGTAAAGTAATTGGTAAATTTTTATACCAATATGAATAACACATTGCTGTGAAATTTTATGCTACGATTCTGTCAAATAACAGTGTTATAAGCTATACAATACGAAGAAAAAAAAATTTAAATGATACCAAAATGTATCAAATTATTTTACGCTTAATAGCTGTATCGAAATTCTATGCTTAAAAGTTGCATCTGAATTTCTATGTGTGATAACTTCCGTGAAACTCTGAAATAAGAAATTCTTTTAGAAAGATTTACATAGATTTGAGCACTTCAATCATTATTAAATGTTATTCAAACACTACCATAACCATGTTTAAATGATGTACAAACAAGATTCAAATCATGTTCAAATCAAATTCAAATAAAGTTTGAATTCTCAAATATTATTTGAATTATCTTTGAATCATAATCGAACAAATGTTAATCATAGCAAACTTTAAGTTAAGTACTCCGCGGCAAAAAATGAGTATTTTGATCCAAAAAAAATTTTTGGGGTACATTACCCTAACAAAATAAACAACAAACATATTCTAATTTTTGCTATCATAGGGCATATACAATCATCAACTTCTTATTCCATTGTTGCAGCTTTCATTTTTACATTATCATGATCATGCATCCTTCATTATTGCACACTCTTCCTTTTCACCCTTTTTCTATAATCTTAACTTTCATCATAGCATTTTTGCAAATATTTCAAATTATTACAACCTTAATTGCTAAATTGCCCCAAATTGTTCACATTCTTACAGTCTTATCATTGCATCACCGCATTTCATTCCTTTTTTTTTCTCTAATGAATATAATTATAAATTTCCTTGCCAAGAACTACAAAAAAAACAACATAACCTTGGTTTCATGTTCTCATGGAATTGGAGATGCAATCCAAATCGAATGGGAGAGTTGCAAGAAATTCATACTAGCTAAATAAAAACAATTATATAAAGTGGTTGCAACTGGTTCATAGGTTTTTAAAGAGAGAAAAAAACGGGGCATATATAAAGTATATTAATAAAACAAAAAAGATTAATAAGAGCACCTGAAAATATATCTATAATAGACACTTATATTTTAACATTTTTTAATTATTATCTCTTTTTCTTCATATCTCATAAATGCCTATTTCAACTCTTAGATCATTGATTTTGGAGCAATAAATCATATGAACGCTCCTCTCATAAATTTCTTTCACATGCCTCTATCCTAGTAACAAGAAAAAAAATCATGAACAATGAACCCTTAACAATCATGGCTAATCAAAGAAATATTCTCAAAATAAATCCCTCTCGCTTTAAAATATCCTCCATATATCTAAATTATTTATCAACACGTTATCCATTCAAAATAATGTAGAACTCCAAGAACAAAGTTGTGTTTTATTCTTCATATTGCGACCTTATCAAATAACGCATGATGAGGATGATTAGGCTTGCTAAAAAAAGTGATGATCACAGCCACATTGATGAATTCAATGATTAAGAAAACACCATAAAACCGTTAATATTATTTCGTCTCTCAACAACCATTAAATCTAAAAAAGAAAAAAGAATCCAGCCTCAACACCTACACATCGGCCACCCATTCCTTGTTATTGTCAAAACTATAATTTCTTTATTATTTAGAGAAACTGATATCTTAGAACTGCATTATAATACCTGTGAAAGAATAATACGTAAATGTACTGATCTTTTAATGAGCAACACAAGAACCCACCCATAATGTTTTCTATTATTAATAGTAGCGTCTGAGGACATCCAATACACCCATCTCTAAGGCTTAATGGTTTCACTTCTTTATCAAGAATTGCCCTCGTTCGTCATAAATATTTTTATTAAAAGCCAAATATTATGTGAGTACCAGCTTTTCAACCTTTTTCAACAAAATTAAAAACTAAGTTGTAGTTGAAACTAAAAAAGACCTATCCAACAATATCAAAACTATTTTAACTAGTCTCTCTCCTCAATGAATAATACTTGGGTCGTTGTTATGCCCGTAACAGCTGGTCCGAAGGCCACCCAACCGGCCCGCTCCCACAACAGGCGAGCCAAACCCTTCGCGAGAAGAAGCCGAGCGGCCTATTGCCGCTACAGAAGAAGGGAGGGATTCTGTGGGGTCCACGAGGGCTTTAATCACATACTCAAAGAGGAAAAATTAAAGAAGTTTGGGGGGAAAATGGAAAATAAAAGTTTTTGAAATGCTGTGGGAGGTTTCTATCAAGGGGGAAATCTAGGGTTTGTCTTTTGAGGGATATACATATTTTTGTAGGTTGTTTTCTTTTCTTCTTGTGATATTCCTAGTGACGTTTAGGGTTGTGGGAGAACTAATCTACCTCTAAAAAATAGGGCACCATTGTATCTTGCTTGTTTGCATTTGTTTTCGATAAGAGCAGCCTCATTGGAGTTTTCCAACTCTTGTCATTTCGTTGTTGTTTGCTTGCTGATTTTGGTTATAGAACATATCAAATTGGTATCAGAGCCTAGATCTTGGTGGGATGACAGCAAAGAAAGTGCAAAGAAAGTGGATGTGCTAGATGTGCTAGAAGGAAAGGTAGGGCAATTCAGATCAGGAATGGAAGAGAATTGTGCCACCATGGAGAACAAGTTTTCTTCCATTGAAAGTCAAATGGATGATGGATTTGGGAGCAAAGGAGAAATGAGAGAGATAATGAAAAAACTCATGTAGATGCAATTCAAGGACTTGCCGATCGCTCCAGTTGCAAACCCTAACAAAGGGTTGATCAGAGAATCCTTGGTCAGGTCAAAAGGGAAGGAAATCGAGCGAGATGACAATAAAGAAGACATCATCTAACTACAAGAGCGTCCTCCTAGGACTCCGAGAGGAGGGGAGATGAAAACTTCAGATTGTGGGGGATGGCCGAAAATTGGACGAGGGATGGTGGAAGGGCTACGGAAGAGCACAATGAAGGAGAGAATCGAGAGTGGGATATGTCTATGACCAAAAGAGGAGTTCCACCCTATATACATTGGAGGAAATACTGGATGAAGAGGAGGTTAGGGTGGAGGCGCAAGGGTTAAAAAAGAAGAGGATGCACATGGGTGGATGCATCAGGTGGAGCGATACTTTGCAATCAATGGGTTAACAAAGGAAGAGAGCTCATACAACGAAATTGTGCTTGGAGGGAAAAGCTTTAGCATGATTTTAGTGGATGAAGGCAAGGTATCCGATGCATTCATGGGAGGAGTTGAAGGAATGCTTGTTGAAGCGTTTCCGGTCCATTCGGTAAGGAGACCTACACGAGTAATTCTATGCTCTAACTCAAAAAGGGATGGTTACAAAATACTACGAGAAGTTTGAGCTCTTGTCAGGGAGGTTGAGGGGGGTTTTTGCAGCAAGACTGAAGAAAACTTCTTAAAAGGCCTAAAGCCCAACATACGGGCAACCATTCGCACCTTGAGACCGTGAGGATTGAGGGAAATAATGAAGCTTGCCCCAATGATGGAAGAAAAAAAAAAGGTGAAAATGACCAACAAAGGTAATACCAGAGGATTCTATAATATTGCCTTGACAGCCACGACATTGAGGACCCAGATGATATCATTTCAGAAAGAGACGCCGAAGGAGAAAAAGAATTGGAACTCGTCCCGGGGGTAATTTCAAGCGCCTCACAGATGCAGAAGTGTAAGATAAAAGAGCAAAAGGATTGTGTACCGTTGTGACAAGAAATATGCCCCAGGTCATTGTTGCAAGGAGTGTGTCCTTTATTTTCTTTTAGTTCATGAGGAGGATACAAAGAGTGAGGTATCAAAAAGAAGACGCGGTAGAGGACCATCTGCATTTGGATGTGGTGGAGGTGTCCCTCAATTCGGTGGGGAGATTTAATCTGAATCACACCATGAATGTGAGGGAGTGGATTGGCGAACAACCGATTATGGTGTTGGTAGATAATGGAGACACACAACTTTGTCTCAAATCAAGTCATGGAGAAGCTAGGGTTGTTAGAGCTGGTGACTACATGGAGTTTCGACGTCATGATGGGGACAAAAAATGTGGAGAAAAGTTGGGGAATTTGTAAGAGGTTGATTCTGACACTACATGGTCTACAAATAATGAAAATCTTCCCTTAGATTTGATCAATAAATATATGATTTTGAGGATGAAGTGACTACGAACGCTGGGGGAGATGAAGGTGAACTGAAAGTCCCTGGCGATAAAGTTCCAAGTGGAGGGTAGGAAAGTGATGCTAGTTTATGCAAAATTATGATATCACTCAATACCATGGTCAAGTCGATTCGGGGAGCAGGACTGAACTACTTGATGGACTGCAGAGCATTGAGAAAATTCGAGATTCAAAGTTGTTAGAGTTTCCTGAAGAGGTCCAACAACTCCTATAACAGTTTACGAATGTCTTCCAAAAGCCAAGTTGTTTACCTCCCCCGAAGGAGCACAAACACACTATTACTTTGGAGGTGTTTCCCTCATCAGCGTTAGACCATATAAGTACCCTCAAATTTAGAAGGACGAGATAGAAAAGCTGATCCGAGAGATGCTCGAGGCCGGAATTATCAAGCCTAGTGTGAGCCCTTTTTCCAGTCACATCCTGTTAGTGAAAAAAAATATAATAAGTGGAGATTCTGCGTGGACTATCGGGGTTTAAATAGGAGACTGTTTTGGACAAGTTTTATATTCCTATAATTGATGAGTTATTGAATGAGCTTTATGTGGCAGTCATTTTCTCAAAAATTGATCTTAAGTTGGGATACTACCAGATTAGGATGAATCTATCGGATGTGTATAAGACAAAGTTCAGGACACATGAAGGACATTATGAGTTCTTAGAAATGTCATTTGGCCTCACCTACACCCCAACGACATTTCAATCCCTCATGAAACCTTACCTCCGGAAATTTATCCTGGTTTTCTTTGATGACATTCTTGTCTATAGTCGCACAGAGACAGAGCATGTGAAGCACCAAAAGATAGTCCTAAAGGCGTTGAGGGGGCACCAGTTGTATGCCAACTTGAAGAA